GGCTGAAGGGACCTTGAAACTCGCAACAAATTGCCAACTTGGAATCCTTAGTTATATGGCTTCCCATAGGCAAACTTTCACAAATCCTATATACATGATCCATCAGAGGTTAACCCCCACCATAATTTTTGTAGCAATCGTCTGTAAACTACCAAGTTAAGATTCCCAAAGCAAAGATGCATATCCAAGGCTTGTCTTTTGCAATTTAAACAAAATGATCTACTTCTGCACCACCCAATGTGAGGCAATTCGAAAGCACCATAGAAGTTGCACATTACTGCTGCTAACAGCACCTACAAACTCTCTTCCTTTGCTCGTCATTGGGAGATCTCACATACTTACTGGGGGGCAAACATCATGGCCAACTACTCGGCCAAAAGAGAGCAGTCACATTATCAGAGGCTACCGTGTGGAGATCTTGATCACCCTGGATTTTCTAAGTCTTTTTCATATGATGTAGCTAACAACCCCATGGAAAGGGTCGTAAAATGATGTGCTTTGTGTTTTTTCTACTTCGTTTTTAATAAGAAACAGGTAGGGGCCCTAAATCCCCACTGATTTAACCAAAAAGATTTTCAAGACAAACAGGTCGTTCCAGCCCGATACCGTCAAGACTTCGTGACTATCGCATGGGAACATATGGATCTTTTAATAAGAAACAGGTATGGGCCCTAAATATCCACTGATTTACCCAAAAAGAAAATAATCTACTTTTGTAATGAAAACCTTTACCATAAACTCCTCACACCATCTACCATGGTGATGTGCCACTCTTGGTCTTCGAAATGTTGTCCCTAAGTAACTAAGTTACTTTCACTATTCCAAAGGATTGATGATTTCTATCGCCCAGGCATGGAAAACTCTTGCTTATCCAAAAGTGGCATATATTTTTCCATATGAAAAATTGTAAATCACTAACTCATATACTTCTAACCATAAGTGATGTCAATGACCCAATAAACATTATAGATCATCAAGCGATGTATCAATAGATGGTCCATTTTTCCTTCTCTCCTTCATTGGCAAGACTGACTTGATCCTTGGATTGATATGCCAATTAAAGATCACATACTATATTGAGACGAGAATTCTTGCAGCCTTGCAATTCCTTTCATAACATGCACAAGATTGTGAGATTTAAAATATCTTTGATTTGAAGTTTGACAACAGATTTCTCAATCTTCCTCGTCATTACCTTCTACTCTGGAGCAGTACCTCTTTTCTTTTTGGATGAAAATTATGCTTCTAAAACATAGACAAATATTCTTCTTTGTATATTCCAAATTTTAGGACATGACTTCTCACTCACACAGAAGCTGACTTTAAATTATGTTTCTCTATTCAGTTATCCATCCTTCCACTTGCTCCTAGCTCATGGACATGCACTGATGCCAAAGACTTTTCTGTTGCCATTGGACCATAATCTGGAATTTCAGTGTCAAAAATGCTCAAATTTTCCTTAGCAGTGGCAGGATCTTCAACAATTCGCATTTGAACATAAGGGATTCAAGAGAAATTTAAAATGGCTTTCGATTTCAATCGATTTGTAATAGCTCATTGCCTTCACAGTGCTTGCAGTCTTAAAACCTTTTTTCCTTTTTTTTTGCATTCTCAAAATTTATTGATACAAACCCACACTGACGTTCTAAAGAGAGTCCCATACATAAGATGATCGAAAAAGGAACATTTAGGCTGTCATTCTATTTTCTCTCAGTAAGAATCACTTACAGGGTTCTATGTAGCAAAGTTTGCCGAATTCCATCCAAAACCTTTTGGTACATGAATTATGACCTCTTGGTACCCGGAAAAAGACCTTCATACGGACTACGAATGCTCCAATGATCGAAGTTGACATTGCCAAGTATCAAAAGCTAGATTTGGATATGGATTGATCCTTCCTAGAGTTGAAAGTAAACCTTCCCACTTTCTCTATGCCAGTGTCTTCTTATCATAAGTAGGGAGAACACACACAATAATGTCAATCTCTTAAACATTCCTTTTTAAGTGTCCAATCCTACACTAGTCTTTAGAAAATCTCCATAAAACCAAATTCATTACTTTTCAATTCCATCAACTTCGAGAAAAAGTGAAAAACTGAATAGTCAATTCTAAAAATTCAACCTATCGGATCTACCATCCACATATCTAGGTGTGCCCACTATTCCAAGGTAGACTCATGCCTAGACTTTGCCACCCCATCCTTTAGAACACAATCTCCTAATCTAAAAGATGGAAACTTGAAATACTTCCATAACCCAAGGAGACACAGCTTGGCCACCTCTTGGCCTCCCTAATCCCAAATCATTGATGCTTCATCTTACACGATCACATACTAGATATACTCCGAAGGGACTTCCATTGGTGAAAGAACCAAAACCAAGAACCACCCAAACCTTGTAAAATGGAGATCCATTTGCAAACTCAAAAGTGAAGGTAGACTTGGTATCTAGAGAATCAAGGACTTCAACATTTCCCTATTAGCTGAACTTGGATGGGAATCTGCTAGCAAAAGCCAATCCATGTGCACAAAATCAATAGGACGGAACTATCTTTGGGGAAAACTGATATTGAATTCTTGGAAGGAATACATGAAACGTAAGTAATAGACAAATACAGCCAATGGCTCATAAGTGCTGGTTCTGATATTGAGTTTTAGTTTAATACTGGGCGAAACGAGGGGTCTTTACTTGAGATGTTTATGAATAAAGTTATAAGGATATGGTGCCTGGAAAATCCCTAGTCATCTCCCAGTTTTGGGATATGAATTCATGGAGAGTCAGTCACAATAGAAATGGTTTCATACCGCCAGAGAAGGGGATAGAGATAGATTATCATAAGAGCGTAATGATCAAGGGAAAGTCAAATAAAAATGGCCATAAACTTATCAGCAGGCACAGGGCCAAAAACAAAACACTAAAAGACCATGTGTGATAACCAAAAACACCCTAGGGCCTTGTGATTCACATGGATAGCCGATTAGAAAAGGCTACAACAGTCCATAGAATGCAATAATGGGGTTCTCATGGGTGCAATGGGTGCCTCCTAAGTAAGACCAAGATCAAAGATTGTGGATATCTCTTTATAACATGTGCCTTTGTTGGGGAGATTTGATGAGCATTTATGTGGAAACTTAACACCAAGCCATAGTGAATTTAAGTGTACAAAGAGTCTCCTAATTTAATGATTCCAAAAGAAGGCCCTAAACAAGCTTTGGAGATTGGATATCCCCACTCTAATTTGGATCATATTGCAGAAAATAAACCAGGGAGCAAAGGAAAATCATCACCATGTCCGTCAGGAGGTACAAAGGGTGATGATCTGGAATATATGAAATATCCCCAAAGAAAAAATAACACCAAGAAATGAAAGGGAAAGTGTAGAATACAAAGATGGCAATTTCAAATTCCCAACTCACCTTGAGTGAAATAAAGCATAAATAGAGAGGCCTAAATGTACATAGAAAGATAGAGAGATAATTGCAGCAGTGATATTTATTTAAATAAATATTACATCACACAAGGTCTATCTCACCTCATGCAAATTTCTTCTACACTATACAACCCGATCTGCACAAACCGCAGCTTGCATGGCGTAAAGAAAAAAAGGAAAAAGATATATGACGTGATCCACTAACAGTTTCAACTCTCAAAGAAGTCTTCAGCGGAATGTCTCATTTGTTGTACCATCTTACTCACTCTCAACTATACAAGGAGCACTACAAAATTCCTATGGAGATAAATAAGGTTAAGTACACAGCTCAATGACATCATAAAGCAGATAACATAAATCTTTTTCTTTCGTTTGAGCACCCATGGAAGTATCTTCTACCTTTCCACCATTCAGACCCCCAAAAATTTATCAAACAAAAACCTTGCTCATGTGAGAACAAAACTCATACTAAAAAAATGCCCCTGCTGACTAATAACAACTCAACTACTTAAACAAGAAAATCTATCGATGGATCAAACTCTATCTAAAACTAAACCACCAGTTAATCTGAGACTATTTATCTGATCTTCTCTAAACTCCAAAACACTATAAAATAAGACTTTGTCAGATTCAATAATCACGTTTTACTCCAACAAATCAATCCAAGAAAATTATTAACAAAATAATTTAACTTATTATATGAAAAAATAGGCATTTCCCATAAAGATCCAGATACAGAGATTACAAAAAATATGCGGGAAAGAAGACGCAAAGGTTGTAAGAAACAATAACAATTAGCAAAAATGCATTCTCCATTAAAAATAAAAAAACTGAAAAAACGTGAAAACAAAAATAAATAATACAGATTGCATTTATGGATACCAACTAAAGACCCACATCTTTCCGATATGTTCTTTCTCAATGCCAGCCAAAAGGGCTTCATATTACTTTATCGAATTTTATGCATGCCAAAATAAATTATTAAGTTCCAAACTAGTTACCCCATTCATAGAATAGTTCATAAATCCTTTTAACAATTAATCAATAAGATATTTTTAAATTTTGAGCCAAATAAAGGCTTCCGACATTTCTTTGGTAAATAAAGAATGTTCATTTGATTTAAGAAATCCTTCCTTTCATAATATATTTTGGGCGATATAAAACTTTGAGAAAATAACCATTTACAAAAAACCATACAAACAGTGGTTGAACGAGTAGACTGCATGATTTTGATGATACCCTTACATTTTCTAGTATACAGTTAAAATAAAGAAAAGAGGAACTAAATACAGAGAAAATAAAAACAGTAGCATCTTCCCAGATATGACCAGAATGGCCCTCAAGTATTCCTTTGCCCTTGTAATAGGGAAAATGATCGTAATTTAAAGACAATTTATTCATTCTTGTGACCAAGAAATATTATGGGCATTATTAGAACAATAACACCAGCCAGATCAGCAAGGAAACCAGTCTGGTTTGAAACAACAAGATGGTTGCTGGCCAGCTTGGCTTTGGAAAATCAATGAAATTCTGCCAACTCAATGTGACCCTGTCAAACTACATTACCTAACTTCTTTTTAATCAGTTCTCACAAATAATATCATACTAAGTCAATGTAATTGTGATCTTTGAGAACTATCGAGTTTGTTAAAGCCAACCAAAGTACCTTAAATCAAATACCTCCAATTTCACAAAATTGACAACAAAAACCTTGTTTCTTTTTCCAAAAAAAATAAGACTTCCCTCTTCACTGTCACTCATCTGCAGGCATGTACACACGCACGCTTACTCATACAAGTGCTCCATCATTAACCTATATGCTTTCCCTATATCTTCCTTCTAAATTTTACAGTCCTAATGAGAAAAAAGAATCGTTCTAATCTTCCCAATCATCCTCCCAACCATCTCTGGCCAAGGCCTTAGTTGAGACTCCGTTTGGAGCCACACTGTGTGTGGCCTCCGAGGTCTCCTCCTCCCAAACTTCATCCCACACTCTATCCCATCCATCCATACCATCATTGTCGAGTTTCCGGTTATCACCTGGAAGACTAGACTCTGGTAGGCCCATCTCAAGTTCCTGATACCTAACACCAGCATCCCCATGCTGCCGTCTTCTCCTACACTTACAAAATATCCAAGTGCCTCCAGCCATAACAGTGAGCAGAAACAAAAAGTATGCACCATACAGATGGGTGGTTGTCAATGTGGCATAAGCAGGGAACGGATTAATAATAGACTCTGTTGATTTAGGGGGTATGTTTGAATGGAGATGGAGAGTACAGTCACCACTACCTGCATCGAGGACTATTTTTTGGTTGCCACCAGTCTTCACTGGTACCTTTATCTGCAAGATGAAAGTTAGAATTAGTGATAAAGTGAAAGAGAGAGGGTGAGATTTAGGATTAGTGATAAATATGAAAGAGAGAGCATGAGATTAGTCATTAGCCAGTGGTTAAGAAACAATAGTGATATAACAAACATCTCAATATTCACAAAATACTAATCAAATAGCCTCTTCTTTTTCTCATTTTTACCAATATGACTTTAGGGAAGAAGTTAAAAAATTGCACTTCTTTTTTCTTTTTCTCTGTCCAAAGATAATGCCCCTTTTCTTGAGGCAAATTCCTAAGGAAATTCAAACCAAAATTGTAAAGTTGCTTCTGAATTTTTTCAGAGAGGTTATATTCTAGGGTAATAAGCCAAGTCAGCTGTTATGTCGAGAGGTAGAAATAAAGAAAAATTTCTTGTACAGAATTTTTATTAATTATAATCTTAGCATCTGATGTTTCTTGTTGATGGGTTTTTGTAAGAATCCCATTACCTTATGAGAAAAAACATGACTGTAAATTGAATGGTCTTTATAGTTTCCCCTGGAAACCAGATAATTACTGAAACTTATCCTCATTTCAGGACAATAATGAAGATAGCTTCATCTATGTAAGGAAACATAGTTCATGGCATGCTTTCATGTGCAAAGAGCTAGAGTTATCTCTCCTAAAATAAATGCTCCCTTTGATCTTGGTACTTCATGGTTATCCTAAGGATCATAATATAACAGAACTCTGAAGAGGTAAACCTAGCATTGCTTCTTGTTTCAAACAATAATTTTTCTGTGTCGCATGGCATCTTTTTATTTCAACGAAACCAGATTGTTATTCCTGATTTCCCCAGAATGATGTGCAACAGGTACAAGGGATACAGGAAGAATATAGAAACAAACCTTTCTGCTTTCATTCTTGGGAAGTTGAATCTTTGAGGGTTCCAGTATAATCGAAGGTAAGGACGTAATGTTCACAGTTATGGCTTCCTCCCCTTCATTTAGGATCACGAGATATAATGCTGCACTTGATCCTGTGCCAGAACAAAAGAAAAAGATCTTCTCAACCACCAAATAAAAGTTATCATGAAATTTCCAAATAAATTCAATAGATAAATAAAAATGGGAAACAGAGGAGAACATATCCGCTGACTACGTAAGTTCAAGATCTGAGATTCCTTGGAAAAAAATAACAGATGGATGACTAAAATCTGACAATGCTTTTGAAGGTTATTTCTGGTTTGTTAACCCCAGTATACATAAAGTAGCTCAAACCTTAAACAAGGCTTTTAATATGTTCTCATATAGACCAAAAAGGCCATGAAAGCCATCGCAAAGCAATCCAGCCATATGAAAACTAGTCCCTCTATTAACAGAGGCCAAAAAATGGCCATGTGAATTTCCAGTCCCGTGATGTCAAGGTCCCTGCCCAAGTAAAGCTGTTGCTCAATCAAGACCACCACCCCCAACATTGACTTTTTGAAGCCCAATCAATCAGATCCAAATATCCAAATAAGCTCTGTGGAGCAAAGATTTACATAACTGCTTCTCAATCTCTCCCTCCCTCACTCTATTAACAGAGGCCGATAAATGGTCATGTGAATCTCCATCTCCACCATAATGTCTGGTTCCTGACCAAGTAAAGTTGTTGCTCAATCAAGACCACCACCCCCAATGTTCACTTTTCGTAGCCTAATCAATCAGAGCCATGTACCCAAATAATCTCTGTGGAGCAAAGGTTTACATATACTCCCTCCTCCCTCACAGAGCAAAAGTTCACATATACTGCTTCTCAAGCCCTCCCTCCCTGCCTCCCTCCCTCCTACAATTAAGTTGTTTTTAAGTTCACTATTTTGCATTAATCTATTGCAAACCAATTCATAAGAATTAAGAAGTTTATTTTCTAACACCTGTTGATCAAGACCTTCATGGAAAGTAATGTACCACTAAAGGTATTGTAAGCAATCTCTCCTCCTGGGTGTGTCAAAACCGCTAATCCGATTAAGAACACCAGCAACCAGGCTACAAGTTATGCAGGAAATTGCAACTACTGAAATATAAACTAAAGGATTGGAACAAGTCATGTTTTGATAATTTACAGCTAAGAATCAATGGAATATTGGAGCAGGTGGATGTATTAAAAGAGAAGGTGAAAACTTTGTCTGCAGAGGAAAGAATCAAAAGAATGGGGGACAAAGTTGTTACTGTCTTAGGTTTGAAGAGACCAACTGGCATCAGAGATCAAGAATTAAATGGGTTAAGGAGGCTCATAGAAACAGTGGGATCAGTCAAACTGAACTTAGTAGGAAGTGCAGCAGGCAACCTCGCCCTGTGGGAGTGTGGGGACTACAAAGGAACCACCAGGGAAGAAATTCGATAACTTACTCAGGGCCATTTCATATATGCGATGCAAATGAGGTAGAGGCATGGTCCCTCCAGTATGGAAATGTAACACATAATTGGACAAATACAATTGTTGAATATGATTCTAACAATGTTATCATTAATTTCAGGCGGTGTCCCCATGGCATCTCAATATAGGACGTCAAATTTTGAAGAAATTAGGACACTTACAGAAAGGCTACTTCTATTTCTTGTCCATGCTTCGAGAGAATCCAATGCAGAGGCAGATGCCTTGGCGCACGAAGGGGTGCAAGAGCTTAGAGTCAATCTTTTTAATAATTAGGAATGGTGTGAGTAGAGTAATGTAAGTAGACTGAATATTTGAAAAAAATATATATATGCATGCACATTGGTTTTGCAATTCATGAAACTCAGTTACCAATTTAAAAAAAGAAAAACATTGGGTTGAAAGACTTGTCCCTACTCACTGCTTCATGCAGAGAACCTACAATAACAATGGGTTTTTCTCCTTCTCCTGCACCTCCTTTCTTGCGGCCTTATAGACCACCACTGGTTATATAAAGATAACAGCGTGGAAGACGTAGATAAAGGTCCAAACCTTGAGGGTTTGCAACTTGATCATTACTAAACCAATAACTCTGCCCAATGATTTTGCATACCAGAATAGAGGTGATGAAATAGAAGGAACACCCATACTTTTCTACGCTTAAAGAACCCACCTATAACCCATATTATACATAGCTAAAAAAATGGTATGTAGAGTTTACTTGTTCTCTATCCTCTTGTCATTCATCTCTAGCTATTTTCTCGGTGGTCTTCTAAATCACTTTACAAGTAGTTCTTCAAATTTCAAGCTTTCAAGCAAGTACAACTTGTTGTGTTGCCAGGAATCTGATTCAAAAACTTAAAGACAGATCATCCATATGAAGTTGAAAAACACATAAAAAACCAAAGGGATAATTTAAAATAGCTATTATTTATTGAAAACAAGAACAAAAATGATAAAATAAAATATGACGATAGCATGAATGATTTTCATAAGTAGATAACAAATAGAATATAGAGAAATCAACAAACACAAAATATTCAAATGTACCATTTCCCCCATGTTTCAGGCAAGCAATTAATTTCTTGCTATCCATGCAATGATCCAATGCACCAGTGCAAGCCTCTTTGCGTTCACTAGAGGTATGTGGTCGAGAATTGGTTCCAATTTCCCCTTTGCTATCAGAAGGCGTCTTCATAGGATGACTTTCCGAATCAGTCTTATCAGTTGTGTTATTCCCCTTACTCCCATCTAAGGTTCCATTGCCCTTCCCTTGTCCAATTGGGCTGGATTGAGATGAGTTATTAGACACCGGCACAGTTATAGGGCTTCTCTGATCAACTTCATGAGGGCCAGGCGAATTTTGATGTGGGGAGATCGATGAGGTCAGGTTTAAACTGGGATCTGGATTGATTTTTGAACTATTATCTTCTTTCAAAGGAGGCGAAGGAGAAACGGGGGGTGCAAGTTTCCGTTTGTCCATTGATTCTCCACCGCCTTGGGTTAAATCAGTTCCATTCTCCGCTGAATTAAAATTAACAGTCTGCAGATTATGCAAAAAAACGTATGAGTATATCAATTATTTCAATGGACAGGTTAAAAAAAACACATTAATTGGTAAATTACTAAGAATTAAATGGAATCACTGATAAATACCTTTGTATTGTTCGTTGAGCCAGATGCACCATTGGAAATGATGGAGATCACAAAGACTACCACATAAATGGAATTTCTTGGCATTTTTGCCAGATAGTCAACTTCTGTGCGTCAAGAAACCTAACCTTTTGATAACGTCATAGAGAAAAACCTTAACTGACTGAAATTGAACTCAAAAAACAACAGAAACGGCATCTTTTCCCGTCAATTATCAAATTACGGCGACCTTTCCGAATAAAATCAACGAAATCCAGATCTTAAATCTTCATATCACCATAATTTAAGCCATAATAGATCGTAACCCTAAATCAACCATCTGTCGCAGAAAATACACAAAAACACTGCGCATACAACAAACAATCTCAGATCAAAAAGTTCAGAGGTGATCCATGAGGAAAAATGAATCGAACAGCTAATCAACCGACTGCAGAGAGGGTATAATATAGGGTTCCAGAGTTAGGGTTTTTCGTTTATTTCATGAATTAGGGTTTCGTTCTCTGATGATCGGTGGCGGGACTTGTCAGCGGGAAGACTTCGTGGAAACTGGGAAATGAATTTTGTGTGAAATGGTTTTCAATCAACTATCATAGAAGTTCCCAGAATGCCCTTTATTTTTTCTTAAAATTTGAAATTTATCAAGGGTTACTTGAAAATTTTAAAATATCAATAAATTGAAATTTTAGGATTTTTTTTTGTTTCGGTAAAATATCAATAAAAGTGTTAAATCACTTCAAAATTAACTAATGTATTATGGTTAATTTTAAATTATTTCCCTTAGGTACCTACTCAACTATTTTGAACTTTTGATAAATTTTATCAAAAATCTTGGTATGATTCTGGATTTGAAATATTCATTGTATTTTTTTTTTTACTCTCAAGTCTCAATTTTTTGTTAATCTTTTTTTTTGTATATTACCTTTAGTTGTCATAGAATATTCAAAGCCTGATTTTTCATTTTTTATTTTTAGTGGGAATGTTTTCGCAAACGGGCTGAACATCTAATGTTCTAGCTTAGCATTTACATAAGAACACGATTTCTATGAGTCCACGGACTCACATGTAGATGCAAGCTCATTAATATTTTATTTTTGAAATAGAATTTGATCTTAATTTATAGGAAATATATAATATTTAACATGAAGATAAAATATTTACATTTGTTGGATAAAATATTTAAATTGTTTAATATTTTTTTTTAAGGACTTTTTATTTTACTAGGGTCTCGATTTTTGGCGGTACGAATTAAGATATACAGATGCAGTCTTGGACGCACCAATAATTTTCCTTTTGCATAAAACAAATA